CCCGGAGCTTGGCTTGTGACAACCACGGTTGAAAGTCGCTAGCTTGCCGTTCCCAGGTCAGCTTTTTGGCAAACTCCTTGTTGCATTCAACCCCTTTGATGAGGAGAGTGATGGGGGTAGGATCACCAGCAACCAGCGCCTCCACTCCAGTTTGAAACTTCGCGAGACCATGCACTTCTTGCCAGCGCACCGCCAAATCAGCTGTTTTTGCTTTCAGGTGATCCATGGTGCCAACTCCAATGCATGATTTGCCTGCAATGTGATGCAACAACGAGCTGAACTGCCCCCAGTACGCCGGATCACCCTTCTTCCAGGGCGGAGCCTCGGCTGTACACGCGGAATTTGCCTCGCCTGTACAGGCGCAGAATTTACCTTGGTTGTACACGCGGCTTACTCGGCTGTGCACGCGGCTTTCTCGGCTGTACGCCGTGGTACTGTGGAAGCAATGAGCAAAAAGAGATCATCATGTAGATGAATGTCCATGAAGGGACGTTACCCCCCCATCCCAACCCAATATCATCAATCAAACGCAGAGCATCTGTGTGACGTGGTGCTGTGGAAGCAATGAGCAAGAAATGCAGATGAATGTCCAGAGGGATGTTATTAACACCCCCCCCACCCCCCATCCCAACCCAACAGGAAACAATGAGCAAAAAGAGATCATGACTCAATTTGTGTGTGCGCAGGTTAGGCGAATCAGGTGTGCGCAGCTGAGTTTGAGGTAACATGGGCTGTTTAGAGAAGAACGTAACCGATGTGTGCGCAGGTGAGTTAAATATATTAATAAATCTGTGTGCGCAGGTGAGGCGAATTATGTGTGCGCAGGTGAGGCGCCATCCCTTCTTCCATGGTGTTAACGGCTTTGACATAGGGAGCGGTTTGCTCTCCAGAGCCAAATGCCACCCCGTGCCCTGCTTCGGTTCATGGAGGCGCTGCAATGCAATTTGCTCAGCCTGATGGCACCATTCAGCACACTGTATCTCCTTTGGCCCAATGGGTCTGCCCAACCAGAAAAGCTTCGGTGCAGGCTGGAAATCCTCCCATGCTCGAACCTGATCACCCAGCTTGGGAACAGCTGGATATTGTGTCAATTGAGGCAAGAACAGCCGTGGGGCCTCCTTGTCCACAGTAACAACTAATGCAGCGTGAGCCTTTCAAGGTACATCCCAATTGACCTTGATGTTGACGAAAGAAGCCATAGGCCCAGAATTCCGCAGGATTGGAATGATGCAAGGACAGCATTTGCAAATCATCTATTTCCTTTATTGTGGATGTTGAGGGTCAGGGTTGCCGCCAAAAGTTCAACCGACGGTGGATTTTCAGGTTCATGACCGACCGGCTTGCACAACATCAAAGTACTCTGCAAGTCCAACCGCATCCTCAAAACGTGTCTTAGGGCTTCCAAGCCCCACACTCTGGTTTCAACCATGCCATATTCCCAATCCTCTCTACAAGCCACCGGCAGGGCTTTGATGGCCTCCGTGGCTCGTTCCTGCAGCACAAGCAGCCGGTTTTGCAGCCGCCCAGGAATAGTTTGCTCAACCATATCATCACCTTCATCCAACCAAGCTTCATCATCTCTGCCTCTTTTGCCTCCTCCCAAGAAGGCGCAACTAGGTCCAAGAGGCGGCGCCTCATCTGCATGCTGTTGATGCTGTTGAGGGCATCCCAGGGTCCCGCTGGCAGCAAGTCTGGGTTGCCCCAGCCGCTCTGTTCTCCACAAGGGCGGTGCCCCAAGAATACCCTCAGCATCTTCCTCACTTGACGGTGTAGTCGTGCTCTCATGTGGTGCAGCTGAGCTATCCTGTGTCCTCTTTGGGTCAGAGGTGTCAACCTGTACCTGCTTCCAGTCTGAACCAACAAGACGGTTGTGTTCAGGTTGGCTCCCCACTACCGCTTCTTCGTGTGTTATGTCCTCTCCATTCTCCAAGCCATAGCCCTTGCCCACCGACATGATGCGCCCCGGCTCTAAAGCTGAAGAAAAGTCAGGATCCACCCCGGTATCAATGTCAAAAGTAGGTGTATCATGTGCTTGAGGAAAAGGACTGTCATAGTAGCTCTTCACATGAACATACGGCTGCAAACGTTGAGCCCAGCAAAGCTCACTGTTCCAGTCCTCACTCCCGTCATGCATGTTCCACTGCAAAGCGCTGTCTCCCACATGCTCTCCCCAAGTGCTGTGAGGAAGTTCAGCCCTCCACAAACTCAAACACTGCAAATCGTTTGAGTGCTCCCACATGTCAACAAACATTGACTCTCCAAAGCTCTGCTTCCAACAGGGCCCCTTCACTGTCAGAAGCTGCCCCCTTTTGCCAGGCACCTCAAGATTCCTGGTGGTGTTACCCACTCAACATTGCCTGTCCTTCGGCGCTTGGCCAATGTTTCAGCTAGATTTCTCAGCTCCTTCTGCTGGTCCGCATTGAAAATGATGCCAGCTTGTCCCATGGCCTTCATGACGTGCTCCGTCGTGTCTGGGTCCAGAACATGTTCTGAGGCCGGTGAGCCTGGCAATGCTTCTTCCTTCAACTGTTTGGCATAGGCTTCTGATTGGCTTCCAAGCTGCTTGTGTTCACGATCAATTGCCTCCTGAACCAGCTTGAGTTCATCCAGCAAAATCTTGTAGTTCTCCTTGGCCGTGTCTACTTTCTTCTGCAAAGCCTGCTTCCGATGAGACAGTTGGCGTAACTCGCCAACTGTGGCTTTGAGCTGCCCTGAGACATCCCTTCAAAATCTCGTCAAGTGGCTGTAGTTCTGGCTCAGGGGTGTAGTCAATGCCCACAACCTTCAAAGCATCCTGCACTTCCTTGCTAAGGCTGTTTCATCCTTTTTTGAGAGTTGTCTCAACCCCAGAAGCTTGCGGTCGATTGCCCAAGCCAGAAGGCCTGTCGACCAGGACAGTGCGATCTCGACGTGGTCTATTGTGCTTCATCGAAGATTTGGAATGCCCTGGTGCCTGCTCCCTCCGTCCATGAAATTTCAATTGACGGGCGGAAAAAGCGGCCGTGCGAAAAAACGTGAGAGAGAGAGAGAGAGAGCGCGAGAGAGCGAGAGAGCGAGAGAGCGAGAGAGCGAGAGAACGAGAGAGAGAGAGAGAGAGAGAGCGGGCGGAGAGAGAGAGAGAGAGAGAGCACAAGTTTTGTGGATGCTGTCCACGTCAACTGAGCACATCGAGCCCCGTTTGTCTATGAAATCAAGACGCCACAGAGCGGGGGGCAGGGTCCGTCCACGTTGGTGGAGGTGGACGCGGGCAGCGGAAGGAGGCTGTTGGCAAAAAATCGCGTGGCTGCTGCGGCCAAGAAGAAAGTCCATTTGCCAAGGGGTGATAGCGTCTTTGGGTTTGCTGCTGGCTTTTGTTGCGCCAGGAGCTCCAGCGCCAAATCTCAAGCCCCAAGACAACGAGACGAGAGCGACCAGCTCCCGGCACATCACATTGCAGGGAAAAGACCCGACAAAGCATCCAACCTAAAGCATCACGCAATAACCGGCCCAACACCATGAATGGCAACACCAACTCGGGCACCCAGCTTTTGTCCGCAACGAATTTTGGTCATCAAACATTTTTGTTGAGGGCCGGGAAGTTTGAACATCGGCAACCAGGTGTGCAGTGTCGAAGAAGGGCCGTGGGTCTTTGCACGTGTCTCCATCTGAAAAGCCTTCTTCACCGCCCTGAGTGCATGCAGATGGGGCAGTGTTGCCCTCCCCGACTGCGCCCCATCTGACAAGGTCGGCATCACCCCGAGCATGTTTACCGACGCGGCCATCAACGGATAGTGTGCCGGCATGTCTGATTCCAACTGTTGACGGCCAACTATTGGGGTCAAGGCCTGGAACACATGTGAGGACCTGAAAAACTGCCTTCTTCTCGAACTGTCTTCAAGCACCAGGCCCTCGTGCAACCTCCCAATGAGTTTAGGGCCTAAACTTTAGGCGTTGCGTTGCCCGCCCCTTTTTTTACATCGCTTCTGGAGAAAGAGTGACGTTAAAAGCAGGCCACAAGTGCAGCGGCATGGAAAAAGCCTGCTATGTACAACTGCCTGTTGTCTTCGGCCGTCCAACGACAAATTTCTTTTGGGCAATTATGCCAGGTACAACGAAAGTATAAGTTGTACAACACCCTTCAAACTACATGCGCGTGCGTTGGTAATGGGGACAAACAGCACCAACGTGACAAGGTCCAAAGCGCCAACATTCCACGGTGACGCAACAGCGCCCAACCAAAGAATCAAAATGATGGTGCTCTCATATTCAACGGCAACACAGGTCAAATCAGCTCCACGAACTGAAGTGCAAACAGTTCAACACTAACACCAGCCAGGTTGCACCTGGAGCGGGGTCCTTTGCGAAAGTAATAGTTTTCAAGCAGGTAGAGTATATTTTCATAAACACACACGTTTTTGTGGTGACCGTATCCATTGAGGGTTATTTTTGTGTGAAAAAACCTTGCGCGAGCAAGGCCACCAACAGTGCGCACTACGGACAGTACAGTCGCAAAAAACCCTTCCACCGACGAAAACGACCCTTTTGACTGTCGCAGTCAACCATCACTGTCGTTCTACCATCGCCAAAAAACCCCTCGTGGCCGAAGCAATAAAACCCCCCTGAGCCGTTGCAACAAATCTCCTTGAATTACCCGTCGCCAAAAACCCCTGTAGCACTTCACCGTAGCAAAGACCCTTTGTTAGCGACGCGCAAAATTAGAAACCCGGCTTCACCACTCCCAGCCCAAGAGGTTGAAACCCAACTGCGTTTGGGCTTCGTTGTTGGGTTTCTTGTGGCAACACATGGAAAAAAACACTCATGCCCTGCGTTTGGCGGACGCGACCTGAGGTTCATGTAACGGCTAGGCCCAGACGACGTGTGTGCAAAAAGCGGAAAGTACCACCAGGAGATGCAATGTTGACCAGTGGTCGGCCACACCTGCATGGATTGGGGCTCGCGGTTGTATAGTTGGGAGACAAAGGTATGTTTTCGCGGCAGAGCAGAGGGGGCAGCAAATCCCAATGCTGAAGGCACCATCTTGGATGCTTCCGGTGGCTGTAGGCTGGGGAGAACGCAGTAGGAATGGTTGTGCTGGTTGTTGCGCATGCAGGCTCTTTGCTTGCAAGCGGCGTCGTGCTTATTTGGGCTTGCCTGGAAGCAAAGCGCGTTATAAAAACATTTTCAGCATGGCAAGCTGGGGCGGCCTTGCCCAATGTAACTCTATTCAATTCCAACTTGTGTGAGAGTAGGCGCAACACATCAGTATGCACGTTTGTGTGAGAAGGTTCGGTTGCAATAGACACATGGCAACTTCATCAAACAACTGCCTGTTTGTGAGGACGTGTGAACTGAGGTAAACGATTCACATGGTGCTTGCCCTTGCGATTGCCAACGCGGTTCCAATGATGATGAGCTTTCTCGGCAAGACCATTGTCAAGAAGGCGCGGCCGTAACGACTGTCTACGGGAAGGGTTTTTATATAGTGGTGGAATTTGCACGACTTTGAGATGCAGAACCGGCGTGCTTCAGGAGACACATGTTTTTACGGGAATGGCTGGTGCTCCCGCACAATCCCAGACTATGCAACATCAAGCAGCAGTGCCCAACCAGTACATGCCCAAGCATACGTGATACACAGAAAAGGGCGTTTTATAGCTTAAAGATTTGTGATTGCTGAGGTGCGGGGGAGTTGCATGAAAAAGCGTTGCAATGGACCTCGCGGGGCTGACAGTTTTAACATCACGTGTGACCGGGCCAAAGAACCTCCATTTGCGGTGGACTGGCTGGTGAAGCGTTTTGGAAGCCAGGTCTGGTTTGTGTTTGCCTCTTTGCTGTTGTGCATTAGTGCGGGCAGAGAGAGGCCCGCGGCAGAAAGGAAGCGAGTCGTGTCCGATTTCCATTTGTGCAGGTTCGCGAGCTGCTGAAAGACGGGGCGGCTGGTGTGAATCAGCACTTGAATGCTCCAGGCCTTCCGCAACCTTTGTCGTCTCAGCACTTTGCTTCGATGTAGTCACAAGGTGGCTCGATCGATGCCAGCGGTTTTCATGGCTTCGAGTTGCTAGTGAGCGCCTGGACTGAAAAATGTGCTGGCACGAGCGTTCACTCATTCCCTGAGACTTCGCAACCTTGCACGAAGGTGATGATTTGATCGACACGCTCCAGGTTGACCTGAGCCGCCACTTGCAGAGACATGCTAGTTGCTGTTCGTACCAGATGGACAGGATGGGGACCTTGACATACTGTGACAAGAAACCTCAAACTTTCCATCGATTTTCTTCAGGTCTATCGATTGTTTGGCGGATTGGTTGCTGGCCGCCTGCACGGTACGTTGTTGTTGGTGGTAGCTTGCGGGTGAGATCTGGCTGGGTGCGTCTTACAGCTGCTGGTGTGACACTGGAGGCAGATGTTCTCAAATGACAGTTGGATTGTTTTTAAAAGTCAAGGGCGACCCAATTGCTTGCAGGTGCTCATCTCGGATGCGCCTCCTGTCTCAGTCCTTGCAGTTGGATTTGGGTTCCAACTTACAGTACTTCAAACAGTCAATCTTCAATTCATACTGTATCGGCACAGGGCAGAAATCTTTATCGCTAAGGGCTGTCAACTTTCAGAACTTGCGAGTGGAGATCAGCTGTCCCGAAGGCTGGAGTATTCCACAATGTTTATATATTGTTTTGTGTCCTTTGCTGCTGTGGGCGAGGTGCTTTTACAATTGATGGATTCGGAGATGGGGCCCTGAACGCAGGGGCATTGTCAACGGCCTCCGTCGCAGTTTCTCCTAAGACCAAAGTGTCAGGACTGCAAGATTACACAGCTGGATGGGGAATCTAGACGGATCAGGTTGGCCTAGGATTTCCGCAGCTTCGCAGCATTGCAGGAATCCAATGCACGGGTGGTTGGGGGCTTTGGTGCTGGTTTGTGGCGCGACTTGCTCCTCGTGAGTTTGTGTGGGAGAGGCTGCCCACTGTGTTGGACCGAGCCTCAGTGCTTCATAGATGTAAATACTTGGCAGCCTGCGGGATTGTCCAAAAGAGGACTTCGCAAGGGAACCCCTATTTTTCCCGGTCTTTTTTCATGTTTTTCCGGATTTTTTTTTTCGCTTTTTTTCCCCTACAGCTTTTTGTTTTTGTTTTTGTTTTTGCTTTTTGCTTCTGCTTTTGCTTTTGCTTCTTGTGCCCTTAGGGTTGCATTCAGTTGCACTTGAACCTTTTGCCACGACACGCCAAACAGGGCGGGGCTCGAGCTGACAGAAAAGGTCTGTCGTCGCACACGTGGACCGCGAGTGGTTCCCCTTTTTACCTGTGGTAGGTACCTTGCTTGCTTTCATGGTAACGGAGCATCCTGGTGAGCCGGGGTGCGCGGTGGCTTGGTGGCTGGCTTCGCTGCTGCTGTGGCGCGATGCCGGCGGATGACGTTCCGGTGTGGAACGGAAGAGAAGAAACTCGCAGCGCCTCGGATCTGGCAGAAACTGGCTGGAGCAGCAAAGTCAGTGGTCCGGCACCTAGTCCTTTTTTCGGACAATGGCCTGGAGAAGCTGCTCCCAGTGCTGAAGTGCTGGGGGGCGCTCCCCTCCAGAAACTGCCGGTCGACAGCTTTTCGAGGCTGGAGAAATGGTCAGGACTTCGCCGAGCTCAAGGAGAATCGATCCCTCAGCTCCTTGTGAGGGAAGAGGAGCTGTTCACTGAACTTCAACAGGCCTTGCAGAGGGGCACGACATGAATGAGCTCGACATGAAGTCAAATCCATGGGCGTGGGCGCAAGCGAGAGGGACCCTCCAACGTCCCCAACACGGTCACCCAATGTGACGAGAGCTGGGCTGAGTTCAGTGAGGGAGGATGAACCGTCCTTCAAGCCTGACGATGAGAAGGTTGTGGAGACCTCCATGGGCGAGAGCACTGGTGGCTTCTTCGAGCACGAGCTCCGAGGCTACCGGTTGTTGAAGGCGGCCAAACTCTCTCAGGCCGAGCGCCAACACGTCATGACATTGACGAAGAACTCGACTCATTTCCATCAGATCCGACAAGCTCTTCGATCCTTGTTCTCGGATGGCGCCGATCAAGCAGATGATCCTGGTCAACCTCCTCGATGGCGTGTTTGGTACACCGACGAGACCGAGTGGGAGCCTGAAGAGGACTGGTGGAGTGTGCGTGGCTCAAAGACATGCAAATGTCAAAGCCGCAAGTTGGCTGATTGCCTGCGCCTGCCATGCTCTGAGAGAGCACTATGAAGCAAAGTGCACTGTTCACAGGAAGTGATGGCTTGGTTTTTGACCCTATCGAATTGCAACCCATTTATGCCACTTGTCTCAGGTCTTCATCCATGGTCACCTTGCACTTCAATCCTTTCTTGGAGACAGTCTTGGAGGAGCCTGGCCAGAAGCAGGTGCAAAGGGAGTCTGTAGGGTGTAGACCCTTTGTAGGATTGTCCCATGTCATCCTTTCTGGTCCTTTGGAGGAATCTAATGTGATCTTTTGGAGGATCTTGTAAGGTTGCCCTTTGTAGGCCAGCTCTGCATGTTCTTCGCTAGGCTTGCGTGTCATGTGTAGGATTATGATTTGTCATTAAATGAGGTGGTTCCTGTGGAGGAATAGCTTGGCATGCCCTTTGTATATGTATACAGCTGCCATCCTTTGCAGGTGGAATTCCTGAGAGGGAGCAGCTGTCCTTCGAGGAATGCTGGGAGTCCCATCTGTAAAGCAGAGTCTTTTGCAGGACTTGGTTTCCTGGCAGCTCCTTGGAGAGTTGTTTGTGACTTTGCAATTCGAGTTGAAAGACCGCATCCCATTGGAGCTTTTTGCTGCAGACTGCAGCCTGTATCATGGGATCTTTGCCATCGGTGGATGAGGAACCGAATATGTTCAGGCCATGGCTGCTGCAACTGCAGCTGGAGAATCCAATTGGTTGAGGCTGTGTGTAGGTTGCGGACAGCAAAGCTACTTCCGCCAAAACATATGCCTCACCCCACACTGCAGCCTGTCATACATGCACATCATGCACATGCCTGCAGAAGACGTCGGCCGCGACTCCAAAGCTGGGGGGCACAAGGGGGCAATCAGGTGGCCAAAGCAGAGCAGTTGGAGGCAGCCAGAGTCAAGAGAATTGCACAAGCACTTGCTGCTTCACTGGCTGCACCTGCCTCACACCTGCCTCAGCATCGGCCCCGAATCAGGGAGGATCACATGTCTCAGAGAAAGATATATAAGTGCTAATGTATATTTTCCAGTCACTGTTGAGAAACCTGTTTTCAGTCAGCTTCAAAGCTGTTGATGTGATCTGTCTCTTCTGAGGTTAAAACCTTCTTCAGAAGCTGCTGACGCACCAGGAATCCTTTGAAGGATTTGAGGTGGGGTCTTGCCCAATCCTTTGAGGATTGAAAAGAGAGAAAGAGAGAGAGAGAGAGAGGGACAGAGAGAGGTTTGGCACCCTTGATGTTTATTTAAGATGTCGTACCACTTTTTGAACATCCTGTAAAGGGATACTTGAACATTCTTGAAGAGTTTCTCAAGGACAAAAACTATGTGGGCGCGATGTCCTTGAAAGGACAAAAAATATTTGGATGTGATGCCCTCTAAAGGACAATTTCCTAGTGGGCTTGGAGCTTGCATGAAGCCAAATTCATCAAAAGGTATCTCTATAGAATTTGTCGCAGGGTCTGGGCAATGGTTCATTTTCAGTCACGACATTACAGGACTGCGTTGTACAGACCTCAAGAAGCATGTATAGCCAAAGAAGGCAAGCAGAAAACATGTTTTCCTGAAATGAATGCACAATGCCAAACTCACCACTGAACCCTAAAAGGATTGACCAAACTCTTCAGATCCTAAACTGCGCATGTCTTTCTTGGATCTTTTGAAAGACTGGCCACAAATCCTATCAACTCTACTTCAAAGATACAAAACTTTTCAAACATCAAGAGCCTGCGCATTCCTTTTCCTTGTCCTTTTCCTGTTCATTTTCATGTCCTTTTCATTGGTCTTTTCCTTCCCATGTCCTTTTCATTGTCCTTTTCCTTTCCTTTTCATTGTCCTTCTCCTTTTCCTTTCCTTTTGGTAGTTTTTTCATCAAGGAGACTATTCCTATGGTTTTCAGTTTCAATTCAAGCATGAAATTGAAAAGCTACATAAATGGATTTACTTTATTGTTTTAAAGTTGAATGTTAATTTCTTCACCTGCAGGCTTTGGGTGATTCCATGTTCCACAGCCCTTTTTATGCCCAGGTCATGTTCAGGTTCAAGTTTTCTTTTTTTGGTTTCATTCAGAACCAGTTGTTTAGTGCATCCTTGGGTTTTAAAGAGGCTTGGCATTTGCATCATTTCAAGAATTCTTTGAAGGATTTGAAGATTTTTCCAGCCTCTTAAGGATTCAACCCCTTCAAATCCTAAACTGCACATCCCCTATATAAGATAGACATTCTAAAGTAGACAGGATTTTTGCCAATCTTTTCAGGATTCAGGGGAGAGAGTTTGGCATTTGTGCATTCACTTCAGGAATCCTTTGGAAAGAGATTTTCACTTCAGTTGACACACCAGGAATCCTTTGAAGGATTTGAAGTGGATTGTTTCCCAATCCTTGATGTTTTGCATTAAGATTTTTTTTACCAATCTTTTAAAAATCCTGTGAAGGATTACTGGAACCTTTCTTAAGATTTTCTTAAGCCTATGAAAGAATTCTTCAATCCTGTGAAGGATTTTCGAATCCTGTGAAGGATTCGCTTCAAGTTTATATAAAAACAACAACATCTAAACACCAAAAAAGGACACCTTAAAAAGACACCTTAAATTGGCGAGTCCAGACTCCTTAAATATTTTAAATAAGACTCCCTAAATAAGGGGTCCAACAAAATAGCGAGTCTAGGAGGGCCAGGGTCGTCTACGAGGTGAACATCGCGGAGCGACCTCGCTTTAAGTTCGGCAATGGTGAGTCACAGCGTGCTGTGTCGAAAGTCGAAAGTGTGGTTGAACACTCCGGCGCTGGGATGGCTGAGCTTCTATCTCTTGGATGGCGGCGCTGAGATGACTCCGTTGCTGCTTGGTGCACGCGATATGAGAAAAAGGGGGGCAGTGATCTCCTGTACCATGGAGACTACATGGCTCACCGAGGCCAAACAGGTGCTTGGTATGCCAGTGAGCTGCTTGCATCTTGTGGAGGACATCTGACGTTGTCCCTGGCAACACCACGAATGCCGATGCAGTACGTGCTGGATCACTTGGATGGTCCGCCCTATATGGCAGTGGTGGTGGAGGCGGCAATGATGGTCCGAGTGGCCCAGGTGGTGTTGAAGAACCCCATCCTCTTGACGGACCACCTCCTGGATGGGTTTCTCCCGAAGGTGGACGTTCTGATGAACATCGAGGTAATGGTGGACGGCCCTGATGATCGTGAGGCAAAGCAGAAGAGAGAAGATCCATTAGCCCGACTGTTGAGGAGCACTGCACTGAGTGCCGGGCGCTTCCCGACTTCGGGGGGTGAGATCTTGAGGATGAGCGTGATGTCCTTGAGCTAGAGACAAACTATTCTCCAACTTCGCCATCTGTGGTCGTTGAACCGATGGCTGAGCCTCTGACAGCTGAAAAGACAGCTGAGGAGCGACCTTCTTCGGAGCCTTTGGGCCCTTGAGAATATATGGTGCTTCCTTCTGCTGCGAATTGTCGGTCGTCGAGTTGTGAAGACATGGAACATCAACATGATCGTGATGTTGAGGAGGACATGGAACATGGACATGAAACGGCTGAGACGGTTCTGAGCATGAGTCAAGTGCAGTCACGCTTCCCACTACACATTCTGTGCACGCAGAGTCACAACATGCTGAAGTGCATGACGATTGCCAGTCTGCAGTACCAATTGGTGGAAGCATCATGATGGTGTTGAAGGATGCATGGAACATCTGAGCTTGACGATCGCCTCAGCATCTTGGCTCAACGACTTCGAGTGCATCGAGAGGCCTACTCATCCCATCCTGAGGATGAAGGCATGCCCCCCTGCCACGGATCACGATCCTCGACACCTCGGATGGCCATGCCATGGGGAGCACCTACCGGGCAAGGAACGAGCAAATGGCTCAGCAATGTGGCAGGCATGTTCTCGTTGTGGACTCCGCGGACTTCGTCTTCGTTACGTGACGAAGGGCCAGGCGACCGGGCAGACAACGGCCATCGGTCCACCACCGCCAGGTGGAACAAGCGCAGGAACAGGAAGAGCTCGGACCAGATTTCAAGCCATCAGAGATGACGGAGAAGATCTTCAATGCAAAGCTGATGGAAATCAGGGGCCGCATCCTAGTCATCCTAGTGATCCTAGTGTGCAGCGGAGGACAAGGCCGAACGGCTGTTCAGGTCCGGGCGGACGAGAAGCTGGGGGGAGCCTTGACGGCGTCGTCGGCATGCGGAGACTCGCAAGACAAGCCCGGGTCGGAAGCCCAAGGAGATGACCGAGCCGAAGACCCCTCAGAAGACCCCGTCTCCGGACAAGCCAAATGGTCAGAACAAGGAGACACCGGAGATGCCCGTGAAGAAGGAGAAGGAGTTGGACAAGGGCCCCTCCATTGGCCATGAGCGTGAACTTGGAATGAGCCTGGCAGTGCGTCCACAGATCCGTGGAGAGGAACCGGTGCGCGGTTCCTGAGTGTGATCTACCCCGGCGCATGAAGGACATCAGAAGATCGAGATGGTCAAACCTTCATGTACGACTTCTATGATGGTCGAATGGCTCCAACACAGGGTGATCAGGAGGAGGCCTCACCGTCGAGTTCTTCTACCTTGTCACAGGCTTCAGATGGTGAATCCGATGGCTCTGAGGAACTTCGGCCTGATGACTCTCTTCCGAGCCGACCGGAGGTCAAGGAGCCTGAGAAGGAGAAAACCTTCATCGCGATCACCTTGGACATTGATGAGAGCGACTTTGACTGGTTGTCCAAGAATCGGCATCGACGCTGTGGTGCGATCTGGTTGAGCAAGAAGATGGCCAAGAAGGGCAAAGAGATCGACGGGAAGCGACTCCCACTGTCTGAGAAGAAGGAGTGACATGGCCATGGCAAAGGAGCTGTCCCAAGTCTCCATACCCCGCGCTTTGCGGAACCTCACTGAGGAGGAGGAGGAAGCTCGCTTGGATCCAGCGCAGCTGATGCAGACGCGGTGGGTCCTCACCTGCAAGGGTGATGTGTCGGCTAAGGCCTATTTGGTGGTCTTGGGCTTCCAGGCCCACAACCTCACGGAGGCTCCACAATGTCAAAGGTGGGGAGGAACTTGTTGCTGACGGTGGCAGCATCGATGAAATCCGTCACCCGGTGTCACATCCGCCTTTTTGCAGACGGGCACGAGCTTCAAGCAAGAGGAGTTGACAGTGCTTGCCACGCCGAAGCTCTCCGCGCTCTGCGGCGCTCCACCTGGAGATCTTCGAGCGCTACGTGTCCAGCAAGGCCTTCTATGGGTTGGCCCATGCTCCTCGCAAGCGGTTCGAGCGCTGCGTCGAGGTGATGCTGCAATCAGGTTGGTCCCAAGTTCGTGGTGACAAATGCTTGTTTGCGCTTGATGAGACTGGCGGCAAGATCCTAGCAGGCTACTAGCAGGGCTGGCAGGCCTCCATGTGGACGACTTCCTCCTGGCTGGACTTCCCTCTTCTGAGCACTAGGTGAGCCGAGAGATATCCTATCTGAAGCTTTCAGGTGGGGAAAATGGGAGACAGAGCAATTTGATTTTGCTGAAGCAGGGCAAGGACCATAGCGTTGTGCTGAACCAGGAGACGTACTCCCTCAAATTGCTTGAAGAGATTGAGATTGACAAGACAAAGGCCCGGAAGACGCCACTAACAGCATCTGAAGTGTCTCAGCTTCGTGGAGCTCTAGGCCTCTAGGCGCTATGAGCTGGAGGAGCACGCAATTTCTTGCGGAAGTCTCACTGTTGTTGAATGAGATCAGCCGAGGCGCCATTGAGACCCTCTGCAGGACCAACAAGTTGGTGCGTGAGATGCGCCGCGATGCTGGCCAGCGACTCCTCTTCCCTTCATCCTGGAAGATCAAGCGAGTCCAAGATCTAGCTGTGGTGACGACGCCAGCCAACACAATCGACCAGACCGGTCGAGCACCCTGGCCATCCTGGCTGGCTCCCCGTGAGATCCTTCAGGGGATCGAGGCGCAGGTGGCATTGGTTCAATGGCGCGGAAGTCCAATCCATCACGATTCGCATGCTGTTGGCAGAGCTCGGGGGAGTTGATCTTCATCGAGGTGATCTTCACCTGGCGGTGCAGGAGATCGCCGGGTCCTTGGTCATGGATTCCAAAGGGCATCTTTGATGCAATGACGAAGAACATGAGCTCTCTTCACGGGCTACGTGATAGCCGAGCAGGGTATGAGCTGACGCTGGCAGTGTCCCAGGCGGTGAAAGCGAAGACGCAACTTCGCTGGGTGAACGCCTTGACCAAATATGGAGCCCGCAAGATCCTGCTCCACTTCTTCGCGCAGCGGCAGCACTGGCGGCTGGTGCATGATCCCAAGTTCGAGGCCGGCAAGAAAGTGCACAAGCGGGCACTTAAAGCAGAGGATCAAAGAGATGGAAGAGCAGGAGGTGGCCAGTGAGCAAGCGCAACTGGCCGTGGGACGCTGAAGAAGAGTTGGTGCGCTACCCACCTTTGGCCTGACAAAAGGCCCAGAAAGTATGGTGGATGTGCGCTTAGGGTTGCGTTCAGTTGCACTTGACCTTTTGCCACGACGCGCCAAACAGGGCGGGGCTCGAGCTGACAGAAAAGGTCTGTCGTCGCACACGTGGACCGCGAGTGGTCCCCCTTTTTACCTGTGGTAGGTACCTTGCTTGCTTTCACTTCTGCTGCTTTTGCTTTTTGCTTTTGGCCTTTGCTTCTGCATTTGCTTTTGCTTTTTGCTTTTGCTTTTTGTTTTCCCTGCTGCTTTTGCTGTTTGCTTCTGCCTTTGCTTTTGCTTCTGCTTTTGCTTCTGCTGGCTATCTTCTTTGCATTGACACTGCCAGAAAGTTGGGTGATAAGACCTTCACCTTGAGCTTTGACACCCAATCACACCAATCAAAAAACAAAGCAGCCCAGCGCTGCCTATATTTGATTTGCATTGCGGGGGAGGCGCTGCGCCCTCCCCCACATCCCGCTTTCTTTTTTTTAAATTGCCACTACCGTCCACCGCCCCTACTATTTCCAATGCCTCTATCACTCGGACCACCCCGCTACGAGTCTTACCACAGTTGCCACAACTACTATTTTCTTTGCGTTGACGCTCCCACAAAGGTGGATTTCGACTTTGCTTAGCCCAAAGAAACCCGAAACCACTGAAACCCAAAGACACCCGCAGAACAAGTCCCTATTATAGTTCCTCTCTCCTCCTACTTCTCCTTCGTCAAGTGGGATGCCTTTTCCGGAAGAACGCCTAAAGAAACCCCAAAGACAAGAAACCGAGCCCAAAGAAACCTGAAACCAGCGAAGCTAAAGACAACCGCAAAGAAACCCCAAGTGGAATACCTTTTCTGTTCCCTCCCTTTGTCACTGTCACGCTGGCTTTGGTGCTTCGTCCCCTGCCCTTTCTGCTGCTCCTAGTGCTTGTAAAGCACCCCCAGCAGAAGCAAAAGCAAAAACAGTAGGGGAAAAACGTGAAACAATTTACGGAAAAAGTCTGAAAAACATTTCCGGAACAAATATCAATCCCTTCGCAAGAACGCCTCACACAGGCCTTGGGTTTGGAACTTCCAACGAAGGTTTTAGTTTTGCGCAATGCCAAACGCATTCCTTTCCCACTATGAGTAGAGAGGAGTGTGTTTTTGCCTTTCCTTGCTTTTACTTCTCACAGTCCATGCTCTCCGAGGTGGATCTCATCGAGAGTTTTGTCGGTTTTCGCCTGGCTTCGGGGTGCCGCCTCGGTCGTAACACCTTCGCTTTGTTGCCATACACTTTCAAAGATTGCTGCGAAGCAACCTACCGAGCGGACCATGCTGGTTGCATTATGGGGGGCCAGTTCAATGGGAGGCCGTTTGATGTGAGCATTCCAACCCATCTCGCATTTCTTTTCTTGAATGCTTTCAAGACTTCACAGCCTCACAGCCAACATGTGCAAGTTGAAATCCTGGAGGCTTCTCTCGCAAGGGCGGGTTCAAGGTGTTGAGTGTGCTTACAACAAGGACTGGGGAAGTGTCTCAACTACTTCCGGGCTGGGGGTTTATATATATATATATATAACTGATTTCTTGGCTTTTGCATGGAGACTGGTGCTCCAAATCGTGGGATTCGAAAAGCTGAGAGCTTGAGAGCTTGAGAGGACCTCATGGTGTTCCAGGCACGATGCGAGACTATCCCAGGAAGCTACAGCGAAAAGTCTCCAGGTGTTTGCTGGGAGGCACGCTGAGAAACTGCCAAAGTGAACTCATGGCAAAGCATCAATTCTTTTTGCACGTTGAAGGCGGGCGTTCCTTGGCGTCCAATGGCTTCCAACTTTGATGGACGAACCATTCGGGAGCAGATACGGACCAGTGTGTCCTTTTCTCAGGAAACTCACCTCGGAATCTTTTGCTGGCTTGTGATGGATTAAGGCAGACGCTTTTGGCTGCTGAGCTAGCTGTCATGATTGCAGTAATGGTGATGCCTTTGGCTCTGCTTGTGAAGGGCCAAGACTAAAACTGACAGCGACAAAGCAAGCAACAAATCCTTTATATAACCGGGATCACTCTGATGCTACTCATGTGATTCTTGCACAGAGTCAGGCCTGCGCTTTTACAGCCTTTAGAAGACCACCACGGCGTGAACTTGCCAGGATGCGCAGCCTTAGTTGAAAGACTGCGCAGCAAAGCTAGCTGAGTGAAACCAAGTGTTGCAGTTCTCAAAGTTGCTTTTGGCACTTGGTTCCTTGGCAACATGACACCTTGACATTCGACAACTGACCACTGTGAGTTGCAGTTTTTTATCCTTGGGCCCCTTGGGCGCTTCCTCGGGACCGACGCCATGACATCCACAGCATATACTGTGGCCTTTCAGGGCGAAAATGGTGCATACAGTCCCCTAGCTGAGAGAAATTTACAGTCTTGTGGTGATGCAAGGAAAGTCTGGCAGATGTGTCATTTGTCCATGTGAGGCGAGCAGGCTACCTATGCACTCTTGGGCAGAGAAGGCGAGACCTCGAAAGTCGCCTCCCCACTATTCGCCGTAGACTGTGCGGATGCCCTTGCAACATCAAGTCCAGGCATTCAAGCCGTCGGTTATCAGTCATTTGATGACGCATTTGCTGTCTCTTGGCGCCATTTTGGTTAAACACCAACTACGAAGCGAGTGAAACGTGTTTATATAATTCCAAAGTTGACTGACCGAGGCCATCAGCGATGGTAAAGTGCATTTGTTATTGGTGCCAATTGAGAACACCCTTGGTGGCACAATACACGCCAATTGTGATTTGCAGTTGCAGCACAATCTCTTTATAATCGTCCCTTGATGGCAATCACACTGCCTGGAAGATCGTGTTGAAAAGACTTTCATAAAGCTTTGTCATGTCTTTGTCCCCAACAGCAAAGATAGTAAAGGCTTAGGGGTCTTCCGCGAAAGGGTCTTCAGCGTAAAGACTCCGTGACATGCTATGACGCTGACATTGTCACGGCGTAGTGCTGAGATGTCATCTTGCTGGCATGGTGTCATGCTGACGTTTTGTCATTCCGTCAGGCTACCTCGCTTGCATGTCAACATTGAACCATTTAGCCACTCTGTCGCGCGAGCGTCGTGCTGACGTGCTGTTTTCGGGGGGACGTGTGCACACGCTTTCATATTTTATGCTGGCTGTCAAGCCGACAGGACCTGTTCTCAGGTTGTAGCGCTGACATGTTATCATGCCGACACACTGACACGGGTTATGCTAACACATGCTGACCCTTGTCACGCCGGGATGCTGATGACGTGTCATGCTGTCATGCTGACATCGTGGCAGGCTCCGAGCGGGTTCCGGAGCAGGTTCCATGGTTCTTGCTTGTTGTCGTGCTTGCGCGCATGTGGGCACACATTAGAAAGGCCACGTGTTTCAAACACACAACGCTTGCTAATCTACGTGCAACTTTGGTGTGGGCTTATCTTACCCATGAAGCCCCCATAGCAAGAGTCCACACAACATTCCTCCCCAAACCTGCGACACCTTCGCTGGCCCTCTCAAGAAACCAGAGTGCAGTCCTGTGCTATAGTCATGTCCAAACCTGGTGTGGTGTACAGAGCCTTTAGGAAACCACAGGCAGGTAGGACTTGCTAAATCAATTGTTTGGTAGAGCCATTGAACTTATATACCTTGAAGGAACTTCAATTTGGAAGGTGTGAGCCAGCCACCGCGTTTCGAACTTTCTTGGTGACAGGAGATTTTCCTTGCTTTGAGGAAACGAATCCAAATTCCTGACTCATTTGTCTCACTTGGTGATGAAGTACGTAAGGCTTGCCAGAGCATGGTGGCAACGAGAAAGCGGGACAGATTCCAAGGGCGAGGGTCCTCATGTGATCCATGAGCCCACGTTGGGGCCGGGTCACCTGTGTTGGATACTGTAGGCTGTGAGACTTTGAGACAAAGGGGCGCCATTCACCTTCATGCCAGGGGTTGCAGTGTGACTGTCCGTCAGAGTCTGCATGTGGCTGTGGGTGACAATCAGTGAGCTGCCACATGTAGCGGTTGAATGGGATGCAAAACACAGGAACCCAACTGCCTCAGAAGGTGGATTGCTGTGTGCTGAAATCTTCACTCGCGATGACCCAGCCCCCACCCTGCGTACTGAGTTCTGGGCTTAATAAGGCGCTGAGGTAGCTGTGGGTGCGGAGAAAACGACCGCTCGCTTTGAGAAGCCTTTGTGGCCAAGCGGCCACTTCATGTTCAGCAGAGTGTCGTGTGTGCGCCTTGAGGCGGAGCACAACCTGCGAATCCGGCACTGCCTTATGGCACTACCTGGGTCCAAAAAGGCACGTGATGTTTCCACAGATTTTGTTTTTTGATTCAATTAGGAAGCTAGTCGGTTGGAGGCCATCGCTTTTAGTTTGTGGCTTACCTGCCTTATGGCGTACCTTTATCATGCTTTATCCCGCTGCGCGACTTTGTCCAGGCAGATTTGCAGAAAGTAATTTCCCATCCACAAGCCCTTGCCCAATGCAACTCCTATTTGAAATCCAACGAGCTGGTGGGTGAAGCTGCGTATGACACAGCTGGCAGCGCCAAACTGATTTCTGAAGGCTGCCAACAAGTTCACTTTTGCATTTTTGATATGTTGTTAATCAATTTTTTTTGTTGGCTAGCGGTGCTAGCGATTCTGGACTCGAGGCAAGCTGAAAGGAGTTGGTGCTATTTGCAGTGAACTTGCTGCAGAGCACTTTGGCCTCGAGATTCTCGAAAAAGGCCAGGGCTGAATTGCAAGCCTGTTGGATATTGATCCCTGCCCTCTGGTGGAAGGCATTGAGGATGACCAGAACAATTTTACGCGGTTCATCCTTCTTCGACCGCATCCGGTTCACATACCCCCTGGCCTTCCTTGCAAAACGTCCATTGTGTTCTCCTTGGACAACATTGCAGGCAGGGTTGGCCTAGTGTGACTTCAGAGCAATTTCGCAAATTTCCCTGAGTCACTCTCAAGGAGCTTTGTTCAAAGCCCTGTCTGTATTCGCTTTGCGGGACATTGACCTTTCCAAGATCGAGAGTCGTCCATGCAAGACGGACAGCTTTTGCAGCTTGAGTTATTTTGTTCCACAATTGTATGACTCAGACTTGGAGTTGCAGGACATCATGTCCAAGCTGGAACGCCTCTATTTGAGCATGGCAGGTGGCGATGTTACCCGAGCCAAGCGAACAAAGTTGAGTGATGTTGGACCCTTAAGTTGTGCAGCTGCTTTGCGGCTGCTGAACAACTTGACGGCTTGGGTTGTGAGGAAAATCGCTTCCGCTACTTGTTCTATGTGGACTTTCTGGCTTCGGCCCGGGATCTAGAGTCTTTCTGTTGCATTTCTACAAGGTTTATGATGTTCCCTCTTCAAGCTCTGTAGTATCGTTGTGAGGTAGAAGATCTGAATGTGGCCAATGCTTTGCGCCACCTGCAAGAGATGACTACCTTCTTCAGGGTGAACCATGGCCGAATGATTGGTTCTTCCATGTTCTTCCATTACATCACACTTTCTTGCGGTTACGAGTGATGCATGACACAAAGCTCGGCACTGTCACACTGTGAAAGGCTTGGCTCCTTTCCGCGGGCTGGATCGGTGGTTGGCCTGGAACACCTTGGAAATCGAATTGTCTTGACCTTAGAATCGACACAAGATTCTTGATGGTGAGAAGCATGATATATCAATTCTGAAAGATCTTTGCTCGAACGCTTTGTTCACCACAAGGCTCTTCCCTTGAATCCATCCAAGCCACCGAAGAAAAGAATTGGAGTCCTGGGCTTTGGAACATTTGGACAGTTTATAGCTGCTTGGCTCCCAACAGGAGTGGGTGTTTGTGTTGACAATGTCTCCCCACCTTTCATTAGACATAAGAGCGCCTGCTGGTTGAATAGGTTGTGAGTCAGGAAGAATGCCAACGGATTTTGGTAGTCGTTAACTTCCAACACAACCAGCCTTGAAAGTCCATATATATATATAATATATATATAATCTAACCCAAAATTTTGCGTAGCGTTGGCAGTAGACTCTAAAGCGGGCTAGGGCTACTGCCCCCTGCTAAGTGCAACTCAATTTGCAAGCACGTTTACTGTCATGCTGCCAAATGAAACATTACGGTCATCATCATGTTGACTGTCATGCCGAAGGGGGACATCCTGAAAACAGCTGCCAATAAAACTGCATATTTCAGCAGCATGCAGAGAGACACACCTCCCCACAAGACTCTTGTCCCACATGCATAAAATCGAGAGTTCTGAGGCTGAGGCGAAAGGCACATTCCCAAGTTGCAGACTTGTTACTTTCCTGAGGCAAAAAAGCTTGCCTCAGAACACGATGTATTCGCCTCCAGCCGGGAAAACTACTCAAGCATCGCTTCAAACTGTGGTGTGCCGCTTGGCCTTCTACTATCCGAACAGTTGTGATGGATTTGTTTGTGTGGGATTGCTCTGTCCCTGTCAGGACATGGTGCAACACACTTGATGAACTGCTGGCCCAGCAGCTTGAGATCCTCATCATTTCAGCAGCTTGGCAACAAATTTGCTGTTTACCTTTGTCAGCACACCCGACCTTTTCCAAAAATGCACATTGCTTCCAACCTCTCCAGATCCAAGGTCAGCATACTGAGCTTTGATAGCATAGTGCGACGAATTTGCAGCAGCATTGCTGCCAAAGACTCTGGCGATTCGCGGCGCCCTCAAGTCAGCCATTGAGTTCTTGAAATTAGAGACGCAGTCTTAGGTCACATCGATTGCTGGTGGTTGATGTGCTCTCCGTAAAGGCCAGTCGCCCAGACAGCCAAAGAAAGGTGCTCAACGGATGTTAAGACCAACTTGTTCACTGCTGTTGCAGGTGCATGCCAAGACCACCTTGCTTTCCCTTTTGCCTGAGAGCTGCGAAGCTTCACAGCAAGCCTGGTCTTGAAGGAGGCCAATGAAGTGCCACAAGAAATGACCTGTTGGTGTGGCCAAACCGCAAGCTGACAAGTGTTGCAACCTCTTTCAATCTGCAGTTGACCTGAGGATATCCTTTGCACACATCCAATGTTTGGCCCACAAAGTGGCAAGCATGGCTGGGCCGGCTTGCCTTTTGTATTCGAGCGCGTAAGGCTAAACAATGCAAGGACTGCCCCGACACGCCTTGTTGCCTGACCCCAAGCATGGCACCACACTCAACAAACTCACATGGGTGTGTATTATTTTCATTGTACCCGTACCACTGGGTCGGTTAGATAGATAGATAGATAGATAGATAGATAGATAAAAAAATGTATATATATATATGTATACACATAAGGTCTAGCTTTTCCTTTTTTGCCTCTCAAATTTCCATGGCATCCAGTGAAGTGAACCATGTTCTTCAAACCAGGAGATGTGAAGACTTCCTTAAATGGTGGGAGCGGCAAGGATGCCGAATGGTCGTGTGGCCCCAAGCGCAGTGCACAGCGAACGGCATTACTTCACGCTTGGACGTGCCAAGGACATGACATGCGAATTGCATGATGAAGTGTCAGCTGGCAGCCAGTTTGTTACTCACCTGACTGGGCGAATCCTAGAACGCTTGTCCTTGCGGACGACGCCTATCAATACGAAGGTGGGCTTGCATGGACATTGTAAGACGGACATCAGCTTTGGAATGAAACCATCAATACATGCAAATGTGGACCTGCAGGGCTTCGAATCTCTTCTGCAGCTTGTGGACAACACATGTGCAGATAGCTTTGATCTATTCTTTGCGAGACTTGACTGGATTAATCGTAGCTACTGAGCGAGCTGGTGGACTTGTTTTGACTTGATGTGATTCTGACTAAGGCTTTTCAAATACAATCCGAACTCTGCCGAGCAGCTAGCTGCAATAGAGGGCGCTGTCGAGGATCGGATCAAGCCTATACGCAAGGCAAGTTGTTGGACAGATTGGGAATGAAGGCAGTCACAGCAGTGCCTTGCAGGATGTGTCATCAAAGCTGCGCGATAAATGCAAATGATCGCGCCAAAGAAGACTGATTTTCCGCAGCCAAATTGCATGCAAACCTTCCCTCAGCCAGTGAAAACCTATAGCTGGCTTGTGGATACTTTGCTTGCCTGGCAGTATTACAAGAGCAGCGGGGGCTGGTGGGGAGCGATGGCTTGCCACTACTACATTCATTCATTTGTCATGTGTTCATGGCTGCATGCATTGTTTGCTGCCTTTCTGCTTGGTCATGGTGTGATGGTCGCACGTAACTTTGGCTCTTCTCAGGTTGTCGGCAATTCACAATCATGTGAGATTCCCAGAGTCCATATACAGTAGCCAGAGCCTAGCCAGAGTCCAGAGTATTCCATCCAAGCGTGGCAAGCCGTACATTTCAGATCATTTCAGCCAATAGCATATATGTAAATGTATGTATATGTATATATATATATACAAAAAAGACATATATTTAAACACACGCACAAATATATATATATACATGCACATAATATGCACCGTATTTTTCATTCTTTCATTTGCCAAGTCGTGCCAAAAATGTCCCGTGTGGACAGCACTGCAGGCTGTCAAGCCAAGGACGGCGATCCTTTCTTGTATCAAGTTAGAAGCAGGGGGAAGGCGGCATTTTTGGGACGATCCGGATTCCATCCACATGTGTGGAGTCCAACATTGCATGTTATGGTAATGCATGGTAGTACTTTGCTGTTTGCCTTTGATACTGATGCATCTATGTAAACATAACATGTGTGTGTATATATATATACATACGCATACACCTTACAGGGACACACACACATTATATATATACATATACATATGCACATGGCCAATGTCTTGCATGTTTTTGTACGACTCTTGAGCTAAACTTATACTTGTTTCGCAGGAGGATGGAGAGAAAAGGCAGCTGGACACTGAGACACCGAGAGATTCTTGAGTGCTATTCTTTTTTTGTTGGGGAGGGTGTATGCCGGGGAGATTAGAAGCACAAGGCGGTAGAAGTGAGAAGGAGCTAATACTTAGTCGCTTAAGTAGCCAGCAAGCGACAGGAAGCTACCAGAAGTTCTTATGATCGAAACGGTCCTTACATAAATTGCAAGATTCAGCCTTGTAATCTGAGTCTTGGGTTGACAACAGGTGTGGCAAGTGCCACCGTCGAATCTCGCTTGTAGAGTCCACCATCAGGCAAGGCTTGCTGCGGGGTTGGTAGTTAGCTGTCGATGATTCAAGAAAATGCCGATGTTTTTATGCGTGAAGGTGGAAGTCCACAGAATAGTAGATGACGAGCTCCGCAATGTTTTCGATTTGTTTTGGTATGTTTTCTCATGCCTGCATCCTTTGTCTCTTTGGAGGTGCAGATGCGGATTGTCCTTCTGCGAGCGCCACATGGCGGCGGAAAATCATGAGTGAGACACTTGGGAATCTAATAGCCACTCCGAGGCAGTGAGAGTGAACTCTTGTGTTCGAAAGTTGGCCTTATCTTGCCTGCCAAGTGCTTATGCCAGGTGTAAATTCGACTGGCGGCAGATGCAAAGGGAAAAGATCGCTAGAGAGAATCCGAAGGTTGGTGGGGAAGCAGACGCACAACTTTTGAAGCATGCATAGTCTGCTAGACGGAGGGGGCAGACCGGGCCGGTGGTTCGTCAGGTGACTCAGTCAACCTCGAAGATGAAGTCAAGCAAGGTAGCACAGCTCGCACCGTACATGTCATCCTTGATGTTTGATACGTCTGTGGAGGATTGGTGTGACCAGTGACCTCCCAGTTGGCCCTTCTATTGTTCCTTGGACTTTCGACACTCGTTTGATATCAACGATTATGTTGAGAAACGTCTGCTGTGTGAGCCAGGTACTGTAAACATCACAGTGTCTGGGCCCTGGAGCATAAAGGCATATGCTAGGTTTTTCCTAAGAATCTAGGAACCAAATGAATGGTGCGAGCGCTTCTTCAAGGAAGCCACCCTCAGGCGGAAGAAGCTTCCTTGAACAAGGGCGAGCGATCCTGCGTCCAGCAGGTTATCTAATTGAATCGGGGTTGGGGCAGCGGGCTCAAAAAGACAAAGTAAACATCACAGTGTCTGGGCCCTGGAGCGTGTTCCCCAATCAGATGTTCTTTAACATAGTTCCCAGGTGGCAACAGTTGGCGAGAGGTCCTCTCAAGTCATGCACCTGATGGGAGTTCTACTGCTGGCCTGCAGCTTACCATATCTATCGCCTCGTTTACTCTTGGGTCTGCGGCAAAGGGGCTTTCAGTCCAAGATTCTTTGTGATGGCCTGCTTGTCTCAGGTGGTCTTCAACCTTCGAGGCAACACACACACACACATGTACACACACATACATATAATTACATATATATATATATATTGACCAAAAGCTGAAGCAGTAGATGCAGGACAAACTGCTCTTCCTTGTTCTCCTCTTGACTTGATGACCACAGCTCAATTCTTTCGATGGAGGAATCCTACACGCGTCAATGAATGCGCAAGTTATGCTTTGGATTCGGCAGTGCGGCTGCCTTGTTTTCCCTCCACGGGTTGAAGAGCTGTGAGGTACCTGACAAAAACATGAGCTGCCTGTATTGCATGTAAAAAGTTGTTGGCAACTGATGTCTCGTGCGGCATTTCATCATATTGTCTTTTGTTAGGGCCGTGCTGGGATATTTTCTTGGGCTTTTATGCGCCCATGCCTTGACCAGGCCTCAGTTAGACAACTTTTCCTAATAGCAGAATTTGCCCTACGAGGAAGAGGCGATTGCTTCTGTATCATCATTCGGACTCATCCCACTAGGGAACCCGTGCCATGCTCGAGGCTTGTGCTCAGTGTCGAATGCAGTGCAGCAATTTCCTCCCTTGCATGTTCTAGCGACCTGCGCCATCGCACACAGACATGCCAAATTCAAAGCAGTGTTTTCAAACCATTGAACACCTGCTCAAAGATGTAGAAGTTACTGAGTAGCCAAAAAGTGTGATTCTAAAGCATACATCCGTATTCAAATTTGTGCTTCCATGGGCTCGCAATGTTCTGTAGAGCCGAGCGACTTCAACGAGCAACGCTACAAGGATCCTTGGAAGCGTCATGAGCTTCTGTTTGATGCAGCCGCAGCAGCACGGTGTTCCCCAATACCTTGTTTGCACATACTCACAGTTCTGCCAAGGACTGTTGCCATCTTGAAGGTGAGACTCCCATCGAAATCAGGATGCCACTTCGTTAGCGGTTGATGTATGTTTGCAGCTATTCTCACAGCATCAGGATTGGTGGGCGACAGGCCAATGGAATGGCAGGCCCAAGCCCAAGTAAGTATCAACTTCAAGCGATGCTGGTAAGGGAATGCAGTGAAATTCACTTGCATCATTTTGCATCGGTGGCAAATCAAGATGATAGCGAAGTTTATATTGCAGAAATGGTGAGAATTACCCATAATATCCCATAATATATATCCTCACGGGTTTACATAACTTAAGACGGTGACACGTTTGTGAAAGACGCCACGTTTGGTAGCGAAAAGAAAGAAGACGTTTGTATAGAAGCCAAAGTTTCAAGTTCTTCTTGGTGGTCTCACTCTTAAGTGCCTGCACATCCTCTGCGGAAATGACACCATCACTGTTCCGGTCAAAACGATCAAAGGCCGATGCCCAACACTCACGAGTAAAGCCAGCAACGGAAGCACACTTTTAAGCCGCACGCGCTTCCCAGTGCGTAGAGCTTTTGTCGACGCACAGAGGCATCTGGGAACGTGCTCCGAAGCCACCACTGGGGTGCTACGTAGCACCACAACAACCCATTCACTTCTCCTTTATGGTCTCGCACAGTGATTGGCTTCGGAACCCACTTTTCGACATCAGACCACATTATCCACAAGGCCGGTATTGACCTGGATTCGATCGTATCCTGCCACCTGGGAACTGAGTTCTCCAGTGGGACCACATGTTGTCCACGCATGGCCAGGTGTGCAAATTGAACACAAACGTTAACGTGCCATCCGACCAAAAGCCTCGGAATCGTGGAAAAATTCTGAAGTCGTAATTACAGTGTGTTTTTCATCGACCGACGAAAACACGCGGGGACAATACGCGTTTTTCCGCGAGAAATTCCGAAAAGAAACTATCCCAAGAACGCGCAAATGACGATGAAAGTACACGTGAGGTTAAAACACTCACAGTCTTAAATCAACCGTCTGGATGTATATATATATATATATGTAATATGTATATGTGGGTGGACAAGCCTGCTGCGTGTAAAGTGGTGGCGGAAAGGATGCAACACGTGCACGCACACACTTAGATTGTTGCCCGCAAGAGCCAATATCAGTATGAAGTTCCCCTTGGCTTGATGGAGCGGAAGGAACGATAACCGAAAGGTGGCTGAGTCGAAGGATTTGGAGATGTTGAACAAAGTTTGAAAGTGCATTAGCCGTTTTACTGCAGGAAACAACGCATTAGACAGCTTGATAACAGTTGAAAATAGCAGGTACGTAGTTCTGGCGTCCCAGAACTATATCACTGTGCGACAGATGCGCCTTCGTTGGCTGGAGACATCTGAAGCACACTCCAGCCCCCTGCCTCTTTTTTCTGCGTTCCCCTGCCCCTTTTCTGCGTTGAGAAACTGTAAGTTAGTAGCGATACCAGGAGCCCTTAGTAGCAAAACCTGGGGGCCCTAGTACCGTTCTTCATGACTCAAAACCTTAGGCACAGGTGTGGACACACACACACACACTTAGATGATGGGTTTGCAGTTAACTCTGTTCCTCGGAGAAATGGACGAGGGAAAAGAAAGGCGAGTGAGTCCGAAAGAGTTGAAGATGTTTAACACAGGTGTTGCAGTCGCTCAGAAATCGCTGAAGGCGGCGGTGGCGCAGCTGCACAACGGTGGAAAAGGGTTTAGAGGTATATCGCGCAAGGACCATGACCATGAAATCAAATCACGGAGAATTGGAGTGACAGTGTGTGGAAAAAGTTCAGCAGGTACACCGTCAGACGTCTCTGACTGCTTCCCATGACATCACTAGCTTCGTTGGCCAGCGTTGTGATGCCATGCGCTGGCCCCCTGCTTGCAAGGTGAAAGAAACAAACTCTTAGGGAAAGAGTGTGGCACATACACACACATGCCGCAAGCGGCATGTCAGGATGTGTTCAATTGACCATTGCTGTCGTGCATTGAGTGCACCAGAATCTGGACATCTATATTGGCATCTGAAGGTAGATGTGCTGTCCAAGTCAGAGTTGCTCTCCAATGATGCCTGAATTTTGATGAATTTTCCACTGGTTCTCACAGGCCTGTTGTCAGCACTGCTTGAGATTCTCGGTAGGCTGGTTCCAAACAGGGCCGCATCCCTGCGCTTCTCCGCAAAGCGTGCCGCAGAAACTGGCGGCAACAGTGCCCTGGCAGGAGAACACAAAGCCAAGCGGGTTTTTGAGTGGGTTGCTATGTTTTAAAGCTTTGCTTCTTAGTTCACCTTTGCTCGCTGCACATGTCCAGGCCTTCTTGCCTGAAGCCGAAAAGCCACCTATGCCACGTGGCCTGCTCCTGAGCAACCCCGCTGTTATTGGACATGGGGTCCGAGCATGTCTCTGAAGCTCTCCAAGTTTGCCTGTACCAGGAGTAAGCAGCAGCAGGCTGCCTCCGCCTGTGATGAGTGATCCTCCACGTTCTCCATCAGATTCGAACGGATTTCTTGTAGTGCCTTGGTTTCAGCCAGCTGCACGACTAATCATTGTTTTGGTGCACCAAGATTTCATAGTTTACAAATAATCACCGGACAGGATTCAAACTTGGTAGTAGGAAGAGTGGAAGGAACATGCGCACTGTTTGGGTTTCTGGCCTGCCCAGTGCGAGTGTCTGACAGGATGACTTCGTGGTACCACCGGATACCGTTAATGGTCATCCAGGAGCAGCTACCTCCCACCGCTTAGACCCAGTGCCTGAAATCCATAACGAGACTCCTAGACAGGTCTCAAGATGTTGAAGTTCAAGGGGAAGATGGTTTTTCTTGTATTTATACCGGTAGGCCCTTCTCATAAATCATTCCTTTTCACTCCCTCCCTCCCTCCCTCCCTCCTTCCTTCCTCCCTTCCCTTCCCTTCCCTTCCCTTCCCTTCCCTTCCCTTCCCTTCCCTTCCCTTTCCTTCCTTCCTTCCTTCCTTCCTTCCTTCCTTCCTTCCTTCCTTCCTTTCCTTCTTCCTGTCATCAAAACCATGAAGAATACAGGACTGACAAAGTGTGTTTGCTTTCTGCAAGTTTGCACCAGGACTCCAGAACTCTGCAGCAATGCGAGTCCTGCAATCGATGAATGCAGGGTCCGAACGTAGACACTTTCCAGAACCTTGACCACAATCCTTTGCAACTTTTTTAACTTGGTGGTCAAACAAGCCGTGCTCCCGTGCAACTTTCCATTGGGAAGCTTTGACACATTGCCTTGCTAGCAAGGAGATTGTTCGGCTCCAACAGTCAGGCATGGCATATTTCCAAAAACGTTGTTTGTGCTGTGTTGTGTGAATGACACACTGAGCGCATCCTGTGAAAGCCCAGAGCTTGAGCGACTTCAAGTAAGACCTTGTAAACGGACCGTCGGCACCCTGAGGGTTGGATATGGTTACCGAGGATTCCTTGTGCAAGGCAGCGTGGGACATACAGCGCCAAGTTTCAGTTTCAGACATTGATCTGGGGAAGGTGCCGATGTGATGATGTTGGCGGTGCAAGGACTTGAAATTTTAACTTACCAGTTGCAGTACAAGCCTGATGCAGAGAACAGCCATGAGGGTAGTGGTGTCAGTTCCGTAGCCAGGAGAATGGGCAACAGGAAATCCAAAACAGCACCTTCGCGGTAAGACTTCCCGCAAGTTGCTGCCACATGACATGGGTTGAAGTGAAAGCTCACGAGAAGCTTGAGTGGGCTTAGGGTAGGTAGCAGGACCGTCTCCAAGAGCCTGGAGGAAAAAACTGCACGAAAGCTTTGAAGAAGTGAACCAGTTCATAGTTCTTTCAAACGGGTGCTGTTAGACTGCATGAAGAAGCTGGCAATGCAAAGGCCGTACTGCTGTGGAACTCCCGCGTCATCCTGTCGCTTCTGTATATTTTCATGGGTCACGCCCTTACATCAACCTGACTGACACAGAGGGATGTGAAAAAGGGTGTTTTTGATGCACTCAAGGCAACAGGCAACTCCACAGTCATGTAGAAGTTGACCTGTCAAGGTAAAAGGGTCATGGCTCGTTCTTCACGGCAAGGAAGTGTTGTCCAAGCCTGACTGGTGTTTGGTAGCAGAATGGGAGCAGGCCAAGGCAGGGAGACAAGTGCCAAGTCATAAGAGAAGAAGGCATACAAAAGCAGAATCTTCAAGGTTATAAGTAATAGCCTACTAGATGGCTTTGGCAGGAGCATCTCATGTTTGCACTAACTGGCGGCAAGCGAAACTGCTTAACGCGGAAGCTGTATGATGGGCCAAGGACAGAGCTTGTTACCTGCTGTCAGTGAAACATTAAAGCCTTTTTATGTCATGTTTTCAGGAGCCTGCAAGCAATTGTGTCGACAGTTGCTGCCAGGCCAGGTCAGGTGTCAAAGCTTGTGATGTGCATGAATCATTACCACTGCGCAGGGTGCGAGAAGGCCAAACACTGGGTTTCAACTGCTCATGACTTGATGAGCATGCCTGAGCCCCGTCAGCTTGGGCGGGCGCCTTTACGCAGCTACATGGTGCTGTGAGCAAATTCAAATGACGGCGTTCCAGTTGCAAGATTGTCAAGATCTTTTGCCGGTGACAAGGCTGAACCTTTCTTTATCTCGCAGCTGACAGTGCACGACGTGGTCATGCAGTTGCAAAAGGGCAAAAGCCAGGGTGGCTGACATGACTTTTTCAGCTGAGTTTTCAACACGCCCCGCTTTTAGACAGCTTTTTATCAGCTTTTCCTCTTGCTCATAGGCTCAGATGATCAAGCCAGGAATCACGTAATTGCAGATGTTTTTCCACAAAGGCGGTCTGAATAGCCTGAACAAGGCTCAACAACTCAGAGAGAACAACAGTGTCAAGCTTGGCTCTTCTTTTCCACGGTGGCATCGCATGGGTTCCGGTAAGGGCCATTGGCTTCCGGAGCCGAAGTCAAATTGCTGGGCCTGGTTTCAGCCGCTGAGCGCGGAGCAGTCGACAGGCCATACCTAAATGCGAATCCCTTGTTTTGAGTGCTCTTCTTGCCTCTACAGGTCCTCGACCACGAGATGCAGCCGCGTTGCCACACAATGCGCATGCGCATCAAGAGCGGAACAGGAATGACCTATGGGGTCACAAGGCTTTCCGACTTTCACCAGCGATCTACGTGGGGCCCGGCTTGGGTGAGATGGTGATAGTTCAGGAGCTAAATAGCCAGACGCAGATCAAGTTGAGGCCAGGTCTCGTCCTTGATTGGTATGAGGGCCTCTTGGTCATTGAGTCATTGGTGCGCAGCTCTGAGCCCTGCGAGTGGCTCAACCAAGTCTCGGATATTTTTCAAAAGGAGAAATCGCAACGAACTCTCAGCTCCAGCCTTTACGTGAGCAAGAAGTTGATGGACGCCGCAGTCACAGGGCCACAATTTGTTACTAGAGAGGCTTGGTCTTGTGGCTTTTGTGGCTTTGCGTTCGTCATCCGTGTTATATACGCTTTTGGTTGTGGTCTTCAAGAACTGCATTCTGCCTATCGGATACCTTGCCCCAGGGAGCCACGTTTGCTCATCGTCGCTACCCTCTTCGAAGTGATAGTTCAGTGGCCGAAGCCGAGGGTATTCTTCCGGCTGGTTGGTACAAGGTGGGCAATCGAAGCGGATATATGTAATTTCCGATCACTGGAGTCATGCTACTAGGGGCTCCTGGCATCGCTACTAGGAACAAGGGCCTTACTATTAGGAACAAGAAGCTAGTAGAAACACTAAATATAACTTAATTGGAATTGAAATTAATTATATAGAATCTAATTAGACATATTCCGATCACTGGAGTCATGCTTTCAGGTGGAAAGCTTGCTGGAGTACTTACCACCATGGGAGGCCTTTGTGCATCCCAAGTGTGGCCTCTATCAGGACTTAGAATGACTCCGGATGAACTCAGATGAGTATTTAAAGGAAAGAAAGGAAGGACAAGCGGGCATGAAACTATCTTTGCTTGAACTGGTTGGGCTTGGCTTCAGATAGTGGCCAAAGGACTTTTATCTTGTGCTGTGGGCTCCCCCCCACATGATGGAGAGCTATGCTGAGACTCCACAAGGTTGTGAAGAGCACCCACATGCGACTTGGGAGCCTGATGAGTGTCTCCCAGATGATTTGGATGTAGCCCCAGCAAGGATTGAAGGTTACCATTTCGCTAATTTTTTTTTTTGCCTGGGCAGGGCGCGCACGGGCGCACCGGCCAGGTGTTGCGAAAAGCTGCTAAGAAGCGGTGGGTGGAAGCACAAAAGCAGCGAGAGAAAGAGACTGGTACCTTGCAGAAGCTCTCCAAAGTGCCTCCGCCAGCTGACGAGGGGAAGGCTCACTCATGTTGTGTCCTTTCGTGTGAAGGCATTCGCAAGAGATGAGAAGACAAGAGTTCCATCCGACGAGGACACCCGCAGAAAGCGCCCTGGGGAGGACGTCCGTGACCTCCCTGTTTCCAAGTTAGCCAAGGCGTGGGCCCAGTGTATTAGGCCATCGCTAGTAGGTTTGGGGATATATATATATATGTATAAGTCATAAAGAGCACCACGTGAGCTACATGTGCTTTAGGCATACTACTTGGACTTGAGCCGCCATGCCCACCATGGCCTTCAAAGCGAATTTGGAGATTTGCAGCCGGATGTTGTGAAGAGCCAAATAAAGGCAGGATGGCCAAAACATCCAAGCAGCCTGCCTAAAAGTACGGCGTACGGAGGCCTCTCACTGGGTCTGGCTGTTCTCTACTCAAATTGACACAGAATCCGGCCTGGATTTCAACTCTGTTGAGCGGAGAAATTCTAAGGTGAGTATCCGCGGCCTCATGCAGCGGCAGACCCTCCAGGCTGTTGTAGGAATTCATGCAGTTGTATGGAGGATTGGCATGTTGGGAATGTCTCTGGCTACTTGGTTGCGACTGTGACACGACATGCACGAAAGGAAAGGTCGGTGATATGCTCGATATCCTGGCAACAAAGCACCCAGATTCTTTCCAGAATAGGATGGCACCTCAAAGGTTTGTACACGTGGCATTCTTCAAACGAAGGAACAACATGGCTGGACAACAACATCCGCAACCAAGCTATCCAGAATACTATCGACAGCTTCAAGTGTCAGAACATACACCGGATTCGAGGGCAGGCAGGGTTGATGCCTTTTCTGCTGGCAAAAGTGTAATGTTGACATGACATGGTTTGAGCGGACAAGCCCTGAGGTTACGAAACAATGGTATTTCGAGCCAATGCTCGCATCACCGCCCAATGATCCATCGCACCAGTCGAGGCGGCAGGCCTTGCAGGCACCTTTCCACAAGCTGATGCTTTAATGCATGAGCCCCTGAAAGACTATATTTAAGGTGCACTATAGTCTAGTTGCTATGTCATACTAAGACTTGTATGTTTGTTGGAGACTCTATTCCATGGTTTGCCCGTGTGCTCGTTGAGGTTGCACAAATTGTACATAAATCGATGGAAGCAGCAGTGATTCCTTTGCCATTGGCAGCTCTCACTGAGGAAGGCCAGGCCAGATAGGATCTAGGAGTAGCAAGCCTACTGTCACCCTTGAATCTGCATCAGTAAGCACAAGTCTGGTCGGAGGTGCGCACGACATCCTGCAGTCGATGACAATCTTACAAGACGACGAAACCCCACGAGCACTTTAGTCTGAAATTTTGCTTTCTTGAATCTTTTTTTGGATAGTAGGTTGGAGGCCCCTTGTTAGTAGGTTCGAGGCCATCGCTAGTAGTACGTTGGAGGCCATCGCTAGTAGGTCGGAGGTCATCGCTACTGGGTCGGAGGCCATCCTACTAGGTTGGAGGCCATCGCTAGTAGGTTCTAGATTGGAAACCATCGCTAGTAGGTTGAAGCCTTTCATTCACTCTTCACTTTTGCTTACTCCAGGGATCGGACATTGGTGGACCTTTTCAGCCAGTGGCCTTTGAGAAGATGTCTGGTCCAGACTGGTGCCTTGCATTGGAAACTCATTTCTTTCAGTACAGAAATGCAATGCAGTGAACAATGGGCTAGAGGGGAGGAACCAGTTGAAGAGGAAGGCAGGAGAAAGAAAGGGTCGGGGGAGCGGGTAGGGGAGGTAAGGGGAAGAAGCTTTGGCTGTATCATGCCTCGTTTTCTTCATTGCCGGGTGGGCTGAGCCGCTAAAGTGTAAGTCAGCCAAAGCAAGTTGAGGTGCACCAGGTCTCCGGCAGATTGTAGGCTATGTTCTTGCAAGTTGCGTTCAGGGTCTATCGACACTTCACGGAAAGGATGCTTTTCTGTTTGTAGTGTTTTGTATTTTCGCACCTGCACCTCCCAAAGGAGTGCCAGTTGCGGTAGCTGTAGCGTAGGAAAGGTCAAATTCACACGGCTCAGTGTCCGGAGTTGTTTTCTGAGGCTTTTGGTGAATTCTACAACTGGACAGGTGAGCACAATTGCGAGGGACACCCCTCGCGCTTTTAAGGCAAGCACTGGCCTTTTTCTCGAAAGGTTCTTGTTTCAAGAGCAGTGCAGGAGTTTACAGCAGTTGTGCTCGTGCTTCTCACATCAGGCTGAAACCTTCAGCGTGCAGGTGGACTTCATTGGCTCTGCAGAGAATAGGGTTAGCTTCACCCTGCAGGTTGGCCCAACCAAGCCAGCTTTGCCAGAAAACCTGGCAGCCCCTTGAGCTAGCATTGTAGTTGAATCTTTTTCGTGCAGTCTCACGTCTTGGCACGTCTGCTTGTCTCTGAGGCTTTGACGGGACAAATTATGGACAGGGTGCGGTCTGCTTCAAACCTGATTTTTCCAGTTGAAGGCTTCATCAAGCAGGTCGGGCATGATCCGTAGGTGATATTTTTCATATCCTGGCTTGTGAGGTGCGCTTGATAGTTATATGAACAGCACCAATGCAAGAGCCTATTGTTGTGTCATGATTACATTTTGTGCGCTTTGTGTGCCATGGGGTTGCCGGTGTTCCTGCCCAGCACGCCGAGCCCAAACTAGCGTAAGGGAGGCGAAAGGTTCGGGGAAAGACGAATTCACTATGACATTTGACATACATCGCGTTAACTTCCTTTGCATTTGCCTTGATTGGCCCACAAGTTGCCTACAGGGCTTACAAGCAAGCGATGCACCACAAACGAGAACAAACGAGGAAAGAGTTTGCATTTCGCAATGGGCACGAAACGGGGAAGGGAAGCGAAAGACAACTTTTCGGGAAACGCAATTTCCGACAACTCCTCAAGGCAATGTGAAGAATCGTCGCCAACCCGCAAATGCCTCCAGACGGAGATGCACAGCGAATGTAGAACACAGACAGTGATTGTTGCGAAGCAGGGTCCATTGGAACCGTGAAAATGAGCCTTTGATTGCTGTTGCATAGGTCTGGCATAGGAAGTAATTATCACGTCACAAGGCCACAAGGCATTTAAGTTAAATTGCCCTCCGACTTGTGCTGCAAATATCCAGCAACAATCTGCGGATTATCGCGATGACGGTTATGTAAGTATGACTCCGCAGGATGTCAGTATCATGGATTGTTGTATGACCATTTGTGTTTTACTTGCAGCTCTGGTTTGGTTGGTCAGGTGTACGACACAGATGGCCGATGCCTGCGCAAGAAGGTGACATTGGCTGGATGGTTACGCATCATGAAGCAGGCACAGTTATATATCAAAGTCTTTCAGCGCCAAGTCTCTATCAGCTACCGGAAAGGACCTTACACAATTGCAGGGTAGAACAGATCTCAGATCTCTGACTCATAGCTGCGCAGTCAGTGCGCAGGTGCACACAATGGCTCAGGCTGCTTCCAACAGTGCCCAAGTCCGGCCGGGCTTCTTTTAGACATGGCCGCGTGCGTGAAGAGGAGGCCGTGTGCAGCACAGGGGAGAAAGCATTCTTGCCTAAACAGTGCGAGTGAAAGCCAAGGTTCTAAATCACAGGTCCGCGCGGGGTTGCGCGGCAGATTTTGTGCCAGCCTGGCAGGGTCGCAAGATGTTGAAAACAGAGATCACCAGGGCTGACAAGTTTTATGGGCACAATTTCGCAGAGAGAGGAGATCTTATAGAGTCTCAATGAGTCTCCCCAATAGACTGTGAGCGGATGCATCATGCATCCTAGTTCTACGAGGCATTGCATAGATCCTACGCCGAGGTTTTGCACAGAGGCCTTACTTTGTACTGGGACCTTGTCAAATCCTTTCACAACCCCAACTCACACTGTTTATGGTCGCTTGTTTTGGAACCTTGCTGGGGAGATTCATCGAAGAGTGTTCCTAATTTCGCGACCTGGATGTGGCTTGACCTGTGTCGCGTGGCTCCAGCTTTGAGATGTATGAAGCTAAATGCAATTAGGGTTGGATAATTTTTGCCTTACCGATGAGTGGGAACATGTGGTGAATGGCGAACTTAGACCCTAGAGTAGTGCAAATGTTTTGATGTCGAATTCTTGGTTCCCCTTTCCTAGTTCCGATGCGGTACTGTAGTGAAGCTGACAAGCTGGTGGCTTTGTGTCACACACACACACGCCCCGGCAATCAAGTGCCCAATTCACCAAAGAGATGGGGCCGTCTCAATGAAAGAAGCCATGAGGTGTGCATGACAGACGGACAACTTGCCAGTGATTTGACTTGGCTTGTCTTTTTGCGCGTAGTCTTTGTGGCCGTCCAATTACGTTACCTGTGGCCTGAAGATGTCACTACAATGTTTGGTTGAAACGTTCTTAAACTTGGAACTGGTCTTTGACAAGCACTATGCAACTATGCGTTCGGGATGCTGGCTAGGTCATCTCAGCAAAGACAAGCTTGGATCAAGGCTTGCATGATTTGCAGTCGCTGTAGTCGTCCAAGAGCTCTGTGGCGCGCTCAATGTGCACATATGAGGTGTTGCTGGTGGCACATTTTCTTGGTGCAGCGGCATCCTGGTTGCATTTGGCAAAGTGATTCCTCTTAATATCGCATGTGGGATCTCGTGTCTTGATCTGTGTCGGATCTCGTCTATGGTCTTGCCTTCTGTGTAGCATAGCAGGATTCAGCTGAGGCTGACTTTGACACCCCTTCAGTAGACTGTGATGATTCTGGGCTTGGCTTAGTGCAGGCTCCCGAAAGCTGAGGCTTTTAAACACTGGGTGCCGTAGTGAAGAACTGCTTCGCCAGGTGCAGGCCCAATATCGCAGGGATGCAGAGCTGGGTCAGAGTATGACCAGCGCTGGAATTGAAGTTGCGACTAAATCCGGAAGCTTTCAATTCTGGCAAGGCCGGGGCCTTCCTTTGATGGTAGCAGCATCACTAGCGGCCAGTGTTTTGCAGATGTGTTCAGGTGTACGGGAGACTGGGACCACCTGTATGTTCCATGGCTGCCCTGAAAGTCCCCCGACTGCTCTATAGAAATGAGAGTGGGACACGTCCCAATGTGATTCCTCAAGTGCAGTAGAAGCACAAGCTTGGTTCTCTGAGGATTTGGATCTGTTGAATGCCACCATTGGCGGTGTGTTTGCAAAGAGGCCAGGACCTAATCTTGAAGTTGTCATTTGAAATAGGCCCAGTGCGGGCAACACTGTGCGGCGCCGTGTTGCTTCACAGATCCACAATAGTCAGGGCTTCCGGTACTATCCTGTGGACGACGGCACATGCATAGCCCAGGAGTTGGGTGTTTCCTGACAAGTGTGACGTAGTGTCACGGGTGGGTATTGCAAGGACTCTACACAAGCTCGGCAATTCACAAATGGCACTTGCTTCATCTCCAAGTGTCCATACAAATATGGACTCACCCGGAACTTTGGTGGCACGCAGGTTTGCTCGAGCAGCTAGGATCAGAAAAAGCAAAAGAAGGTCGCACCTGTTCAGCTTTGCTTCACTCTTCAAGCTTCTCCTGTCCATTGGAGTTGCTGCCAAGGTGTTTGGGTCATCGGTGCTTGTGCTTGGAGGGTTTTGAAGTTCGAGAAGGACAGCTGCGCACCCCATCATGCACTCTCTAGCATCAACGCTGATAGGCCGCATTGGCAACATTATAGAGAGGATTTGCTTAGGTTATATAGCGTTATATAGTATTAAAACATGATATCAATGAATATCTAAGAATGAACCAAAGGACCAATGAATGGTAAAATTGAGGAAGTACGTAAATCTGGAACAAACAAAGAATGGTCGGCCGCCACTGCCAAGAGTGCAAACCTTCTCCGCTGGTTTCTCACCAACTCCTGGTTGCGTTTTCAGCTCTTTGATTCTGTGTGGTGGTGCCGGCAGCAGCGGGCAGGCGTGGAGAAATCCCTGCTTATATATCAAGCTCGTGACTTGTCGCTCTGGGCTTTGTGGTTCATTGACGACGCGATCCTCATGTTCCGCAACTTGTCTCAGCTTTCTCGGCTTCTCCCTGAAGTGTTCCAACTCTTTGCTGACATGGGCTTGGCCGTCAATCTCAAAGTTTTGCCTCTTATCCCTTGCGCCTTGCCTCCTTGCTTGGCTGGTTACTCTGTTCGCTCTTGGGCCACCTATTTGGGGCAAACCATCAAGCTCATTGAGGGTGATGCGCACATGGTTTCTTCGTTGTGTCGCCGTGCCACGTCTGCGTTCTTTGCTAACCGTCCGTTGCTCACCCACCGGCTTGCTCCCCGCAGTCGTCGCCTGGATTTGTTCACTTCCCTCGTCACTGATTCCATTCGCTGGTCCTTGTGCGTGGTCTCTGTCAAACAATCCAACCTCACCTCTTTGCGGGTGCATTTTGTCACGCTCCTCACTTGGATGCTGGGAGGTCGTGCTCACCCCTCTTGGTTTGCTGTGGAGTGCCTTCAGGCTCTTCGGCACGCTGTTGAGTTGTGGGGGCGTACTTTCACTGAAACTTGGGATCGGCTTCTTGCACGCATGGTGTGGCGCTGGGTTGGCCACGTGCTTCGCGTGCCCCCCACTTCCTTGGTCCCTTCCGTTTTGCTTGGCTTGCAGAGTACGGCCAGCCTTCACAGCGGACTTCGGCGGAGACGGACTGGACCTAACAATAGTGGTCACCGCAATGTCATACGATACCTGCAACATCGGGGCATCTCGTTGGAAACTGCTTTGGACCGCTAACCTCTTGGCAGAGCTTACAAGATGATTGGCTTAGCCACAACGGCTTAGATATCCAAGCCCACCCTGCCAATGTGCTTGCGGTACCAGCTGACAAACATTTCTGGGAGAAGCGGTGTTTGCAAGGAGCCTACCATGGGCAGCAAGTTTTTGTAGCTGATGTTGGGTCCCCTGGCATTTGAATATCTTGGAACCTGACAGAGGCGCAGGGTGGAGGAAGCACACTTCTGTTGCCTGGGATCTCACAGCGGCCAGTTTGGTCGAGGAACTTGCAAACACGGACTGGATTTTACCCACTACTTTCCACATACGATTGCTGCTGATTGAATCATCCGCTGACCACATCCATGCGGATCACCTATTGACCTATTGAGAGAGGCACCTTTTCGATGTGAAATCTTTCAACAAACTTGCGTTGTTTTTGAAATGTCCCGCCTACTTGGCATCTGGGTGGGAGAAATGAAGCAGCTTATTGACAACCTCAGCAACTGACACTCCTATCTCGCCTTTAGCTTAGCTGAACTCTTCGAGAAGGCGATGGAGAGAAATAATTTTGATTCAGGTGAATTTGTATTTTTACGCTTTTACTGGAATATTGTTTTGACATGTGTCACACACATCATACCAAATATCAATAACACATAGGCTCTCTGTTCAAAATGGAAAACAAACAGATGGAATGGATTGTTCAAAGTGTTGCAAGGATTGAACGGACACGCAGCACATTTACCAACATTAGCGCGATCAAAAGCAATATCAGTCATTTGTTCAATTGTACTTGTTCCCATATGATCTATCCATTGCCATATTCTTTCCCCATGCTTGTGAGGATGTCCAAAAGCCAGCCATGTGTTGCACCTTGACCTTAACCCAAACATTCTAAACCCAGGACGGACGCTCACCAAGATTGACTCGAACATGTGCATACGGGGCCACAACCTTCACCCGTTGAACACATGCACAACCCCAAAAAGCATCCAAGTCCATAGAAGATATGATATATAGAAGTGTTATATAAGCGTACTGGACTGGACTCTACGGACAGTCCTTCAGCAACCCCGTACATTATATCAGACTTGCTCTAGTGCTTGGCCTTCATTGTCTCAGCCGGTTATTGGCTGGTTCTCGTGAGAACTTTTTTGCACCGGAGGAACAGCGGAAGGCAGGTGCGTTGTGAGGAATCTAGCCGCGATCTTGTGGAATAGCTGCCTTGTTAGCTTTGCTAGGTTGGTTTTCTGAATTTTTCTAACTCTCCTTCCTTGCTTGCGACTTGTTTGGCTTGGCTTTTTGCTTGCATGCTAGCTTGTTTTCTTTTCCATGCTTGCGGGCGCTTCCCCTACACCACGATTCCAACACCTTTAATTTAAGCTAACACGCATCATACGATGCTAGTATATAATACTTGCATTCTTTGAGCATTGATGCACTTGTGGAGCTGTTGTGGTTGGGGCTGAGTGAAAGCAAGGAACGTTCGAGGATTCCAGTTTTGATTACCCTTGGTGGCAGCTCTTCATCAAAATTTAAATGTGTCATGAATATCAAACTCCCGAGAGAAGATGTGAACAGCTCAGCAGCCACGAGCTGCAAGTAGGGGTCAGATTGGCCCAGAGAAGCAGGGAGATTGAATGAGCCTGCCAGACTATGTATGCATATGAGTGAATATGTCTATGTATTAATGTTGTATTGCAAAACCAACTATTGCGGGCCCACTTGGGTGTTGCACGGGTGTGCTGCAGCTGCAGGCGTTTGCTCCAAAGTGTTTTCTTGAAGCCGAGCTATGAGGCTGGGTCAAAAATGTGGGCTTGGCCACGTTTTATGCGGATGAAAGTTAGACACAGACTCAATACACAAGGCTTTTATCCTGGACTGAAGCCAGTGATGGTTCCATCCAAGAACAGTGGAATGGCAGATTGTGGGCTGAGGTTGTGCGGCGCAGACGGCGCTAGAGTCCGCTAGACTGTTGAGCACTTTGCAGGGCGTGAATGCTTTGCACATAAGTTGGCAAAGGTCATGAAATTGGGAGCCTGCTGAATGCGCTCCCATTGGTTTCACTTGTGGCACTCCAGCTCAAAGCTCGAGTGAACCTGTGAATCTTAAGCAAAGACTTTAGAAAGGTAGGTGAGCATTCTGCTGGCTGAGATGCAACTTGCTCACTGAATCCTGAATGCAGCAGATGTAGCACTCAGACAAACAATGCAATGCAAAAGAAGGCAAGGGCAAGGGTATATATTTCAAGGGCACACGCACACACACACAGCCGCAGTGTGTGTTCAAGACAATGAATTGCTCAAGAAATGCTGCGTTTCAAAAACAAGGTGGCTTCCGAGAGGGTCCTTGGGATTGGAGCCAGACTTTCCATTGCAGATTCGTACAGATGTCTCGGGTCTGAGTTTGCAAAGATCTGAGCTCGGACTCCAACATATCACTGAGCCATGGCCAAGCCTTTGACAGAGGATGCCAGAACAGCGCTGGTCATCCTACCTCCAGATGAGTTGATGATGCAGGCAGCCTGGCAGAGTCCAACAGAGTGCAGATCAAGAGTGTGAAGAGACCTGTGCTGTACAACTTTGAACCACTTGGGGACGCGGCTGTTTGTGCTATTCCTAAGCCCCCGATCGAACTTGTCTCCCAAACTTTTCAGGTGCAATCACTGCGGAGGCGGCATGATCGTGCATTCGACAGGTGGCCACCACATTTGCGCATTTGCTGGCCCTTCTTGCCTCTCAGGAGCAAAATTTGCAGCCCAAAAGTGCGGGAAAGGGCAGTGGTGCTGAGAGACCCACAACCAAGAGTCAGGGGTATGCCGTGTGTGCAACCCTTGGAATCATAGGGGGGCCTTGTGGCTGTTGGTTTGACTTTCAAAAACGCAAGGGACAGGAGGCTCTTAGACCTGTGCCATGCAGCCTGATAAGCTGCATGCACCTGCATTTTCAGAATGGTTGTGTTGTATCCACGCTCTCCTCTACATGACCAGGCTGTTTTGGGTGGAATTAAGGTCGGCTCGAGCTTCGGAATCTTTGGAACTTTTGGGGGCTTTGATTCTTACTCTTTGAGGATGCTTGGGCACCGTTGCGTGTTTTATGTAGGCATATTTTTCCCGAATGCGTAGCGAAGGGTTCCCGTTTATAGTTGGGGGTCTGGGGGTTGGAGCTGTGTTCGCGTGGCTTGCGTCGTGTCGTCGTCTCTCGTCGTCGTCGCGTCTCAAATTTGCTGCCATTGGGGGAAGCTTTTGCAGGTGACTTTGCATGGATGTGTCACGTGTCAGTTTGCGCCGCTATTCCATTGTGATTTGCATGAAAAAGACATGTCGCGCAAGCAACGTGATGCATTTCGCTGCACAGGCGCAGCGTTTTGCGAGATCCGCAGATTGCTGCGCAGTTCCATTGGGATTAGCGTTTGGAGAGTCGTGTTTTTGGGGTGTTGGATGTGGCCGTGCCATTGGGATTTGCGTTTCAGGGTGTGGCATGGAAGCTCGGTTTTCGTGACAAGTCTCAGCTGAAATGGCGATTTTGGTGGATGGGAGTGTGCTCAGAACGGGTCGAAATCATTCCAAACGTGTGGTGCGGTGCAAATTTTCTTGAAGCTCACATGAGATGATATTGTCACTTTTCGTGGCAGGCGCGGGACTTTGTGCGGGTTTTGAGGAGTGGAAGTGCGATTTTCGTGGCAGGCGCAGGGAATCGTGAGGTTGCGAGGTGTGACGGAGGTGACATTTCGTGGCAGGCGCAGTACTTTGTGCGCGTTAAACGTGTGGACGCGGCAAGATTCGTGGCAGGTGCAGGGAATTGTGAGGTTGTGAGTTGTGGTAGAGGTGAATGTCGCTGTCACATTGGGATTGGCGTGTGAGCGGATGTTGTTTGGAGGGGCTGGAATCGCGAAACTGCTTGGCAGGCCTGCATGATGTGTGTGCTCCGATGGGGGGTTCCGCTTGACTTTTGGAGGAAGTCTCGTAAGAAACGCTCGTTTTGCAGACTTTACGTGTGAGTTTTTGAGGAAGTCTCGTACGAAACGCTCGTTTTGGAGACTTGACGTGTGACTTTTTGAGGAAGTCTCGTACGAAACGCTCGTTTTGGAGACTTGACGTGTGAGTTTTTGACGACGTCTCGTACGAAACGCTCGTTTTGGAGACTTGACGTGTGACTTTTGGAGGAAGTCTCATACAAAATGCTCGTTTTTGAGACTTGACGCGTGACTTTTGGAGGAAGTCTCATACGAAACGCTCGTCTTGCAGCCTCGCAGCGTGACCTTTGGAGGAAGTCTCGTACAAAGAGTGTGCCCTACAAGAGTGTCCCACAAGAGTGTCCTACAAGAGTGTCCCACAAGAGTGTCCCACAAGAGTGTCCCACAGAAGTGTCCCGCAACAGTGTCCCACAAGAGTGTTTCACAAGAGTGTCCCTTAAGAGTGTCCCACAAGAGTGTCCTATAAGAGTGTCCCACAAGAGTGTCCTACAAAAGTGTCCCACAAGAGTTTCCTACAAGAGTGTCCCACAAGAGTGTGCCACAAAAGAGTGTCCCACAAGAGTGTCATACAGGCGTGTCCCACAAGAGTGTCCTACAAAGAGTGTCCCACAAGAGTATCCCACAAGAGTGTCCCACAAGAGTGTCCTACAAGACTGTCCCACAAGAGTGTCCCACAAGAGTGTCCCAAATGAGTGTCCCACAGGAGTGTCCCACAAGAGTGTCCCGCAACAGTGTCCTCCTACTAGAGTGTCCGACAAGAGTGTCCCACAAGAGTGTCCCACAAGAGTCTCCCACAAGAGTTTCCTACTAGAGTGTCCCACAAGAGTGTCCCACAAGAGTGTCGCACAAGAGTGTCCCACAAGAG